CTTGATTGAAGACCATTGGTCATGCAAAGACCGGTGTGACTGGTCATGACCGATAATTTTACCATATATAGATGTCACACAGGGTCCATGATAGAATATTTCATGTGTAAAAGTGAAATATCTATGTAAAAAGCAGCTCTCAGAGCCATTTTTAATGGTTTTTGATGGTATTTTGGGGTGTTTGGTGGGTGCGCATGTGGCTGTGCAATAACTGGTCTATAACCGGTTATGACCGGTCACACAGGCTGTCACAATCCAGGAAGACCAGACCTTGTGCACCCCAAAATCCAAAAGACCGGACCTGCGGTCACTGTGTGACTGGTCATTTTTCGGTCACGGTCCGGTTCGGTCATGGTCACATGGACTGGACCTTTAAACACTACCCGAATCCCCTTTGTATACAAGGGCATAGTCTTGGGTTCCAGCTAAGTAGCAACATATATGAAGTGCATTTTTTAAATGTTCTTCAGTGGGATTTGCACTCATTTGTGACATTTTAATCACAGCAAATCCAATGTTGGGACGAGTGCCCAACATTAGGTAAAGCAAAGATCCTATAATGGATTGGTATTTGCTTCGAAGGGTGTTATCTATTGGACCCTCATTTTTTAGAGGTAGATATTTATATGGCAAGGGAGTTTTGGTGGATTTTGCATTAAGCATTCCAAAGCGCTTAACCAGATAGGGTTTCTGATCAAGTTTTATCTGGTTTTTGTTTCGCCAGATGCGCATTCCGAGGAATTCTTTAGCATCACCAAGATCCCTGCATTCCCATTGTTGCATAAACTCTGCTTTTTTCTTAATAACATATGACCGATTAGGCCCAAAGAATAAGCCGTCATCAACATAAACTATCGCAATGACAATTTGGTTTGAAGATGATCGATGTATGAATATGCCTGCATCTGAGACAGTATGTTGAAAGCCTAATTCTTTCATTGATGCAACAAGTGCTCTCCACCATTCAAGAGCAGCTTGTTTCAGACCATATAAGCACGCTTGAGTCACAGGACTTTGCGCTCATGGTCTTTTTGGACAAAGCCTTCTGGTTGGCTCATATATATCTTAACGTCCAGTTTGCCGTATAAAAAGGCAGTTCAAACGTCTAGTGATAGAATTACCCACTTTTTCAGGGCTGCTGTAGCAATCATAAGACGCACAGATTCATATCGAACTACTGGTGAGAATAATTCATCGAAGTCAACACCTTCGACTTGAGAGTAACCTTTGGCTATGAGATGAGCTTTCTTTCGACCATCAGATTTGATGTTGAAAACCCAATGATTGCGGATCACTTTTTGTCCTTTAGGCAGATCGCAAATATCATAAACGTCACAATTCTTGAGGAAGTCTAATTCCTCTTTGCAGGCGTTCATCCACTCTTTTTGAAGCTTTTTATCAAGCTTGAATATGTCTCGGAAGTGAGTAGGAACTTCGTCTTTGACAGGAATGGCTTTAGATAGTAAGAAATCCATTATTTGCCCCCCTTCCTCTCTACATATACGAATGAGTTCAAGTTCCTCATCGTCAGTAGAGGGATAGTCCGGAAGATCCCTTTGGACCTTTTTCACATTTTTACGCCAATGTCGTTCACTAGCGATATCTTGTTCAATTTCAGATGGTAGTTTCTTTTCTCCATAAATATTCCAGGACAATTGGCACGATCTTTCGACGAGTGCTACGTCTGGGTAATTGATTCCATTCTTCCTGATCCTCACAATTGGGCTCAAAAGCACAGGTGTAAGGACCAGGTTGATTATCATCCCTTTCGGGAGTTCACGGTTATCCACCATTTCTGTGTAGATTCTCATGATGGAATTGGAGATGGAACTTCTTCCAGTTCTTCTTCAACTGTGGGACCCCAAGGGTGTTTCTTCTCATTTTTTGGAGAAGGGGGAGTTGAGAGAGTACGTGGATGAGTATCTGGTGAACCATGATGTGATTCCGGTGGAGGTAAATTAAGCCAATCTTCAATTGGAGGAATTATAGGTTGTTCTGCTACCATAGTTTTTTGTTTGCATTTCAGCAAGTGATCTTCATTGAAGATTGCAGTAACACCGATAAATATAATTAGGTTTTTGATTTGCATAAAGCAATAACCTTTTATTCCATTCGCATGTCCGAGATAGATCATTAGCTCGGATTTGGGCGCAAGTTTATTGGCACATTTTTCTCGTGGGAGTTATACATATGCTGCACAGCGAAAGACACGTAAATGCGTCAAAGAGGGTCTTTCACCCTTTAAGACTTCATATGGAGTCCGCCAGTTAAGGCGTACCATCAGAGTACGGTTATAAATGTGAACCGCCTGTTCCACAGAAAATTCCCACCATGAATCAGGAAGGCATGCGTGGTGACGCATAGACTCTGCTTTATCCATAATGGTTTTATTGATACGTTCAGCATGACTAGTGATTAGCATGGGTAATGCAACCCGTACGGGTTTTCCCACGGGTACGGGTATGGGTACACTTTTTGCAAACCCACAAAAACCCGTACCTGTTTTGCGGGTAACGGGTAATGCCACGGGTAATTCCGCAGGTGCGATTATCACTATTTGGCCCTGTTTTATGCTAAATCTGCAAAAAAAATCATACATTTTGACTAAATATTCACCAAAATAAGCCAAAAACAGTAACTCGCACCACTCGCAGAGCCTGCGGCAGAGGTATTATTAACTTTATATTGGTCATAGAGCTTAGGTTGATAGCCCTGAAGGTTCCCATAACTAGGGGGCATGTTGGACACTAGTCCCTGAGGTCTGCAAGTACCATACCCGTGGGATAAATCCGAAACCCGCAAGTATTGCGGGTTTTTGGGCAAACCCGTGGGTAACCTGTACTGTACCCGCACCCGCACCCGCACCCGCACCCGCACCCGCACCCGCACCCGCACCACGGGTGCGGGTTCCCACGGGTACGGGTGCGGGTCGTGGGAAAATACCCGCGGTAGACCTGTGCGGATCACTAAGCACGACCATTTTGTTGTGGTGTATGAGGTGCCGATTGTTCAATTGTAATGCTGTTTGATTATAATTCATCAATAAATTCCTGGGATTTGTATTCTCCCCCTGCATCAGAACACCAGCATTTAATGTTCGCATTATATTGGTTTTTGACTAGCGCATGGAATGTGCGGAAAGCCCCAATAGCATCTGATTTATGTTTTAGATGTGATATCCAAACATATGACGTATAGTCGTCAAGGAATGTGATGATATATGAATACCCATGATAAGATTTCACAGGGAAGCTTTTTAAATCCGAATGAATTAATTCGAATGGCTTCTTGGTTCGTGAGACGGAAGGTTTAAAAGATGAAGAAGGCATCTTTCTGTATGCACAGCCAGGGCATATGGGTGGGTTTTTCGGGATGATTAATCCCTGTGGAGCCGGTGAGGGCGAGGAATGGTGTGATGACATGTGTGGGGTGGGCAAGACAGTGAGAGGGCGGGGGTGACGGGGGCGCAGAGAGGTGGGGCACAGCGGGTAGGGCATGGTGGGGAGAAATGGGGTACGAGTTCAGGGGTGGGCAAGACAGAGGAGGGCAGGGAGGTGGGGGCACAGATGCAGGCAAGCGGGGAGGGGGTGGATGAGCAAGTGGGCAGGGTGGGGTGTGAGCTAGGACTCACCAGTCTGAACCCCCTAGCTTTCTCAAGCTGGGGGCGCAGGGCCAAGGGCCACAATAATGCCCAGCTCATGTTTGCAAGTGAGCCGGTGGTGCGAAGAAAAAAGCTCGTTTGCGAGCAGTCCCCGGCTCACTTGTTTGCGAGTGAGGGGGCTAGCAGATACGGGATGATGAGCGGCACTCTCGTTTGCAAGAGTGGGGAGTGACGGTTGCATCAAACGGACTGAGGGGGAGTGGGGGGGGGGGGGTTGAACAACAACAAGAACATTGAAAACAACGTTCCGATCATTGATCGATCAGTGTGTCAGGGAGCCGAAAACGGCCCGCAGCCACACCAAGAAACCTGTCATTACCGCGGTACGGGTGCAGTTCTTGCCGCGGTGTCCACAAATGGACACCGGTTGCGAAACCGTGACACCCATGACCAGAAAACCGTGGTGTGACGAAACCCATGCTACAGCCTACTGTGGGAAGTCTTTGATATGTTTTTGTGACTTAGACACAACCTCTTTTGAGGGATGACCTAGGTGTCGATGCCAGATGTCATATGACTCAATTGAATTGATAAATAAGGATTGTTTTAAACCATTTGGTTTAACAACATCTGCATCTACCCAGAATGTAGTATCCCACGGAAAATGCTTTTCAGCAGTTAATTGCCATGTCCCTTTATTACTAAATATGGATACATCAGATGATGCATTCAGTGATAATCCAGAATTAAGTAATTCTCCCATGGATATAATTCGCAAATTTAGCCGGGGATGGTGATAGACAGGATGTAAGTGTGTATGTCGCTTTTTATAAGATCCATCTGTCTATATGACATTGTTTTCAAGGATAACGGTTCCTTGTATCTCAATTTTGAGCATTTCTGTTGCAGTAGCAACATTGAGTGGGTTGGTGGATATTGAATGTTCAACGTAATCATCCAATAATGCAGTGAAATGCATGGATGCACCTGAGTCTATTAACCATTGGTGTTTGACATGTTTCGCTTTTCCCTTACAAGATGCACAAAGGGCATAATGTAATAAACTGACAAGTTGTGTTCACTGACTGGTCTGCTATAGAGTATAGCCAGACACAGTTTATAGCCCGCTTATAGATACTCTAATCACTCGATATTGATAATAGAATGCAAGTATAGGATTGTCTAATACTGTTGTCAAGGGCATACATTTCCCTTCATTGTAACATGAGGCTAATGTCGCCCCCTCTACTAGACAACCTCAAACCATTTACTCTGATATCAACAATGTCTTCAGGCGGTAAACTCGACATCAACACCATCAAGAAACTCGATGGAACCAGTCACAGTTGGTTGATAGATGTAACTATGTTAACATGACTACTCTCATTGGATTAGACAAGGCCTGATAGCTTAGTTGGTTAGAGCATCTGGTATGATATTTCCAGGAGGTCCTGGGTTCAATCCCCAGTCTGGCCATCTTTCACTTTTCACAGGTTATGGGCCCTGGTCTTAACTGCTAAACACACACTTATTCATTCACTCGTGACACCTGGGGGCATTACACCTGTCTACAAGACATTAAACCGATCATCAGAGGGCTACAGCGCGCACTACAAGTGCACACACACACCTAGCATCTCATGTGACCATGTAGATAATAAACTGACAAGTTGTTTCACTGACTGATCTGCTATAGAGTATAGCCAGACACAGTCTATAGCCCGCTTATAGACACTCTAATCACTTGATATTGATAATAGAATGCAAGTATGAGATTGTCTAATACTGTTGTCAAGGGAGTAGCAAACACTACTCCGGGACATAGTAGGAATTACACTTCCTTTGTACATGTTTGGCCTGATTCACCCGAGGCGTGAAATCAGGTGTCCACTATATCGCGACTGAAATGATGGACTTAGAATATTCAACAATTAGGCCTCTAGCTGCACTGAGAGGCAAGATATCAACATTTTGAATATACAGCATTATGAACCACCATACTAATGGTCTAATGCGGTCTATTGGGTGTCCATCTATGTAACCTGTGTATCATAGATGGACTAGGGAGTGCTGGGAAGCGCAGATGAAGTGATTATCTGTCAGTACCAATGTACTGTCATCCCCACTTCTAACACTTCCCCTTGATTGTGCATTGATCACAGAAATCATCAACACATCTGAGTGCTTCCCCTCAATCCTGCACAAGTCCCATAAGCTTTCGGAACTCATGCACTTTCGTTCGAGGTAGTGCTTTTGTTAGGAGGTCTGCTGGCATCTTGGCAGTCTCCAAATATATTGGCCTGATAGCATTGGCCCTAACCTGATCTCGAAGCCAATAGAAGCAGAGGTCAAGGTGCTTCATCCGTCCATGATGCTCCGGATTCTTTGCCACTGTGATTGCCGACTGATTGTCAATGTGACATGTGGATGCACTTCCCATTGCATATCCCATCTCTGTCAACATCTTCCGCATCCATAGGATCTCCTTTCCTGTTGCCACAGCTGCCACATACTCCGCTTCTGTGGTTGACAGTGCTACCACTGGTTGCAGCTTACTGCTCCACGACACAGCTCCAGTCCCCATCCGCACCAGATATCCAGTGGTTGACTTCCCATTGTCCTTGTTGCCCCCATGATCTGCATCACAGAATGTGGTGAATGGCTCTGTTGCCCCATCCTCCGGACCATACACAAGCTTCATGTCCATTGCCCTTCAGATATCGCATCAAGTGCTTCAAGGCCTTCCAATGCATCATGCCTGGATTGGAATTGAATCGGGCAAGAACCCCTGCAGCAAATGCAATGTCAGGTCTGGTCATTCCTGCCAGATACATCACTGTCCCCACTCCATTCATGTAGGGGATCTCTGCCATCTCATCCTTCTCTTCACCTGTCTGAGGGCTTTGTCCTCAAGTCAGAGTGATTCCCGGATTCATGGGTGTATCCACAGGCTTGCAGTCTGACATTCCAAATCCATCTAGCATGTTGATCACATATTGCTTCTGTGACAAGCTGAGCTTCCGATTGGGCCTATCCCGAGTGATCTCCATGCCCAGCAAGTATGAGGTGTCTCCCAGATCCCTCAACTTGAAGTGCTTGGCCAGATCATTGACAAACTTGTCAATAGCTACCTTGGACTTTGATGCAATTGTGATATCATCAACAAACACTGGCACAATCAGCTTGATGCCATCATTCTCATACATGAACAAGGATGGGTCAGATTGGATCTTCCTGAATCCCATTGATTTGAGTACTTCCCACAAGCGCTCATGCCACAGTCTAGGTGATTGCTTCAGCCCATACAATCCCTTGTTCAGCCTAGCCACCCGCCTCCTCTGAGGCTTGGATCCAGGTGTGACCACCACCTTCTTCACCTCATTCTCAGGATGTGCGCCCTCTGGGAGATGTACATAGATCACAGTGTCCACATTACTGTTGATGAAGGCATGAGAGATGTCTACAGACCGCAATTCCAGATCCTCAAGTGCTGCAATGGCCAGGACTAGTCTGAGTGTTGCTGATCGGGTGGTTGGTGCAAATGTCTCTGCAAAGTCGAATCCAGGTCTGCACTTTCCACCATTCCCCTGGTGGTTTCCGCTCACGGTGTGATCTCCTTGGTGCCACTGGGACATCATCATCCTCATCATCCTCATCCTCTGATGGTGGTTGTACGTTGGACTGGTGGTTCAACATGTGGCTCAACTGGTACTTCAGCTGGTGGGTCAACTGGTGGTTCCTCCACTTCCACTTGCACCTGTGTCTGTGGTTTCGCCTTTGGCACCTTCAGCTTGACCTTCTTTGCCTGTGATCGTGGTGCATTGCTCTGCCCCCGTGCTGGTTGTTTCCCTTTGTCAACCTTTGGTTGCACATTCCCATCATTGCCATCATGCGCATCTGCTTCCCCTGCAGGTGGTGCACCCGGAGCATCAGCTCCATCATCATCATCTGGCACATTGGGTGTGTATCCATCATCTGATTCATCATCTGATCCATCATCAGTGTGTTTCTCCAACACTGTGCTCTCTGGTACAGTGCGCTTCCCCGGATGAGTGGCCTCTGGTACAGCATGAGTTGGTATAGGTGCATGACTGATGGTGCCCAATGAATATCTCTCATCAAAGTCTGCCCTCTCACTGATCACTACCTTCTTGGTCTTTGTATTATAGAACTTCCATCCCTTGTATCCCTCAGGATATCCAATGAAGGTTGCCAACTCCATGTGTGATCCCAGATGTGACCACTTATCCTTCTGCACATGCACATAGGCCTTGCATCCCCACACCCGCAGGTGCGAGATGTCAGGCTTCCGCCCATGCCACAGCTCATAGGGTGTTCCCTCCTTCACAGCTGATGTTGGACACATGTTCAACACATGGATCAATGATGCCAGACATTCACCCCAGAATGACTTTGGTAGCCCACTCTCAATCAGCATTGTAGTGATCCGCTCTGCCAGGACACGATTCAATCGCTCTGCCACACCGTTCTGTTGGGGTCGGTTCCGCACAGTGTGTTGTCTCAGGATCCCATGCTCATCAGTGAATGCCTGGAACTCCTTGGACATGTACTCCCCTCCCTTGTCATCTCGGATGGCCTTGATCTTGTGTCCCAGCTGGTTCTCAGCAAATGCTTTGAACCGCTTGAATGCCCCAAATGTATCTGACTTTGCCTTCATTGGCACAACCACTCTGAACCTTGAGTAGTCATCAATGAATGTGACCCAATACTTGAATCCAGACATGGATGGCACTCCAACCTGGTGCACATCCGTGTGGATCAGCTCCAACAGCTGTGATGCTCTGTGTTCACTTGGTGGGAATGGGTTGGCATGCATCTTGCCTCCCAGACATGGCTCACACACAGGATCAGGCTTGCCCTTCGAGTTGATGACCATTCCAGTCACCAATCCGTCCTTCAGTAGCTTGGCTACTCCATCATGATTGTGATGACACAACCGCCTATGCCACAAAGCAAGATCAAGAGGCAGAGTTGACAGCAGATGTGCTCTCTCAGAGTTGTCTACAGTGATGCCATCCAGATAGCCAACATTGTTCACACCAATAGAAGCAGTGAAGACAATTCTATCATTAAGCTTGAACTCCATGCAGTCTCTATCTATCTGTATTGTGAATCCCTTGTGTCTAGTGAGGTATAGTACAGCTAACAAATTATTCTGTAGTTCCGGAACATGTAGTACTTTTGATATCAAGATGTCCTGACTCTGTCTCCCATTTACATATGGTCTAAACAGGACATTGCCAACACCTTCAGAGTAAATGACCTGGTGATCTGCTAGCCTGATAGGCACCCTATAGGCCTTGTAATCACGGATCCAGTGTCTGTGTGGTGTCATATGAGAAGTGGCTCCTGTGTCTGTATTCCATTCAGAGATGTGAGTTGACATTGCATGAGCACCATCTGAAGCACTTGCAGAGCTCCTCAGTGCGGAATGCTTGCAGAATCACCTCTGGTGTGAGTTTGTCTGTCAAGAGCAGTGATGATGACAGGCTGGCATACTCCTCAGGCAATGCCCGGATCATAGCCATGCACTCGAGGTCAGCATACAACTGGTCGAGAGTGAACTCATTGGGAGTGACATCCTTGATGTTTCCGATATTCTGCGCAATCCTTGCCCCTAGCTCTATCAGTGATTCATCCTCCTTCTTCTGAACTGAGAACAGTTCATCATAGGCATTGAATCGTGCGCCAGCCTTCTTCTGCACATGGGCTGCCTCCAGTTTGTTCCACATCTGTATTGGATCCTCTTCATGCCCCTTGAAGTGTATCTTCTGATCCTGCTCTACCAGCAAGAAGATTTCACCTGCAGCCTTCTCTGCTTTCTGCTCCCAAGCATCAAGCATATCCCCCTTTGGTTTGGCTTCTCTGCCAGAGACCAATCTCCATAATCCTGCTCGCATCAGCCATGCCTTCATATCCCCACACCATGTATTGTAATTGGAATTGCCCAATTTCGCGAATTTTGGTGAATCTGATGGCATGGTTGCCTTCTGATGCGTTTTACTAGTGTTCTAGTGTGTGTGTGCACTTGTCGTGCGCGCTGTAGCCCTCTGATGACCGGTTTAATGTCTTGTAGACAGGTGTAATGCCCCCAGGTGTCACTAGTGAATGAACAAGTGTGTGTTTAGCAGTTAAGACCAGGGCCCATAACCTAATAAACTGACAAGTTGTTTCACTGACTGATCTGCTATAGAGTATAGCCAGACACAGTTGATAACCCTCTGATAGACGCTCTAATCACTTGATATTGATAATAGAATGCAAGTATGAGATTGTCTAATACTGTTGTCAAGGGAGTAGCAAACACTACTCCAGGACATAGTAGGAATTACACTTCCTTTGTACATGTTTGGCCTGTTTCACCCGAGGCGTGAAATCAGGTGTCCACTATATCGCGACTGAAATGATGGACTTAGAATATTCAACAATTAGGCCTCTAGCTGCACTGGGAGGCA